TACTGATGAAGATGATGGTGAAGCTGAGATGATCAAACTTCTCTTTAAACCATTAAAGCTGTTTTATTTCCTTCACATCAGAATCGTGGCTTTAAATCCCATTTTCACTGCTGGTGCGGCGCGGGAGGCGTTTGGACCGGGGTTCTGAAGAACATCATCTGGTGGCCCATTGCTCTGCACACTGCCTGGTTCTGGTTTGTTCCACCTGCTTTCATCTGATTCAAACCTTTGGAAAGTCGTTTGTTTCTTCATCTGAACAGAACCTCTCCTTCTATAATAGTTTCTATCCTGAAACTGCCTGCTGCTCCGTTATGATTTCTCAGTTCTTTAGGAATCTCTCTGTTTTTTTAATTTTTATTTTAATCAAATAAATATTATCTAATCTGGGGTTTAAAATAAAAAAAAGGATTGAAACCAGCTGGGCTTCAGTTCTTGTATTTAAACCATTTGGTGCTTCAGCTGAAGGTCTATCTCAGTAATAGAGACATTTCAGAGCCTGTCTAGAATCAGAAGATCTAGATTCAGACACTGACTAGCTCCCCCCTGTCAACAGGTGCTGTTTGTTCCATCAGGCCTTCAGCTCAACCAGTTTAGGACCATCTACTGTACATTTCTAAATAAATTACAGAAGATAAAATAGATTTTCAGAAAGTCCCTGCAAAGAAATATAATCACGTTTCTACATCTAAGCTGCCTAAATGCAACAGTTACTGTATGCTTGTGCATAATTCACACATTGAATGAGTCGAGGTTCTTCATCGCTAATTTCAGAGAAGGATGCTCTCCCTGTCTCTGCTTTAGTGAGTCTGATGATATAGACAATCCAGGACTTCATCTGCTAAAGCAAACATAAATATAACAATGAATTCTTCATTGTTATATCCTTCTCTATGAGGTAGAAACCTAGTTCTGAAAAGAGCATTTCTGACTCATAATTAATTACCGTAATGTGGTCAGCTTATGTTTTGTCTATAAAAAAGGAAAATCAGGACATTCCACCTTAGCGTATCTCTGCTGCCACCCTCTGTTTTAGAGAGGAACTACAGAGGTGGTTCTTCTAGCTCTGCCCCTGCCCTGCAGAAAACGAGAAGGGATCCCTGGGTGGATCCTGGTGGGCTGGAGGAAAGTTGCTGCCGTTCTGAGTGAAACAGGATGGAGAGGAACCAGGCAGATGGAGGCTAACAGAGATCTATCAGAACCTGCAGCGTCTGGGCCCATTAGAATCTGAAGGAACCCATCCCCCTGCTTTAACGCATGCAGGTGAATATGGATCAGAACCAGCTGGACTCCACACTGAGTTTATTTGGTGTCTAAAACTGAACTTAAAGGAGGATCTGGAGCTGAAAGCTGCTGGTTTCTATCCAAACCCAGTCAGCCTGTCTGTTCCATTATCACTAGAGCAGTAAAAGAGCTTAACGTGTTCTTAGGTGGATGCATGTGAGAGAGGAGGACACCAATTCAATTCATTTCAGTTTATTTCTATAGCACCAATTCTGAACGCATATCATCTCAAGGCCCTTTACAGTTCACCAGATCATCCAGTCAGATTGAAGTTTTCTATCTAAGGAAAACCAGCTGATTGCATCGACTCATTAACTTTTCAGCAATCCCTCACACTAAGCATGTTTGTAGCGACCATGGAGAGGAAAAAATCCCTTTTAACAGGAAGAAACCTCCAGCAGAACCAGGCTCAGTGTGAGCGGCCATCTGCTGAGGCCGACTGGGGTTCAAGGAGACAGAAGCAGAGATACAAAAGGCAACTATAAAAGGCGGCCCCGTCCAGGAAACACACAGCCAGGCAGACGAGCTCCGAGCCAGCTCCCATGTCAGAGGATGAAGAGAGCACATCCAGTTAGTCACAGTCAGAGAAACAGGACTACACTGGAAAACAGGCCGATCTCCAACATCTAGAAACAAAGGTGTTGATGGCAGCAGCACAGCTGATGTTTCTTTCCAGGATGGAGTCACAGTGATTATTTCTGGATGTTCTCCTTCAGCACCAACAATGGGAGGTTTATGTTTAATCATGTTGCTGTAGAGAAAGTTTAATGACAATTATCCTAAAAAGTCTGATTACTGATCAATATTATTATGTATAAGTTACATTAAATCTGAAAAAACTCTTCACCTTTAACATTAAACATGTGATGATAAACATCCAGGTTCTCCTTCAGCCCGTATCGATCCGCTCCACCATTAAACAATAATACCAGATAACGATGAGATTGAGGGAGACCACCTCCCATTCAAACCTTAGACTTATTCCTTCTGTTACTAAAGGGTATATGAGGTGTGTGTCGGTGGAAAACTGTGATGGCTATAGTGAAGGGCGGTGGTGGCAGTGTGATGATATGGGCCATGGTGGATCATCAGGTCTAGATGGAGTAGCTCTCTCTCAGTACTGGTTCGAGGTCTAACAGGTGTCTGTATTCCTGCAGTAGATGTCCTCAGCCATGGGCGGTTCTAGGCGGGGGCCAACAGGGGCCAGCGCCCCTCTAGAACTGGTCCTGGGCCCTGCTATGGCCCCTGTTCTAAAAGCATACATGACAAAGTCACTTCTTTTCTTGGAATAAGACAATTTACTGATAGAATAATTTTTATTTAAGTATTAAAAGAAACAGCTTCATTATTGAAAGTGAAAAATATGAAATGATTTCTTTTTCAGGTCCAAAGCATTCATCTCTCTGGTAGATCATCTTTATCTGCTCAGTTTAAGAGCAAAAACACAGATTTGAAGGAATGTTTACTGTTTTTAGATTCACTTTTCTAGTGTCTTATTTTTAATAGGAGCAGAGAGAAGAGACCCTAACTGATTTGTCTAATAGACCAATTTAATATGTAAACCTTTAAACTTTACAGTCGGCTTTAAGCTTCAGTCAGAAATGCTTCCATGTTGGATCAGGATTCTGCTATCTTGGCTTTGTGACTCACTTTTTCCCCCGATTTGTTGATTATATTTCTTTATTTGTAAAACCCTGGCTCTCCCTTGCCCCCCCCCCCCCCCCCGTTTAATTTCATCTGGTTAAATCGGGATTCACACAGGAAGAGAATCTAACGGCTGTCCTGGCAGGAGACCGATGGAGGCGCTGCATCAGGTCACAGAGAAAACAGCAGAAATATTCCTGGACCTGCAGGGAGCTTCAGCTGGAGGATCTCTGCCACATGTTAGGAGGCTGAACAGGAGCTTCTAGTTCACAGCATGGATCCAATCAGAGGAAAAGCTCCAGACTCTCCCTTCCTGGTCACAGGTTGAACCAGGTCATTATTCTGTCAACAACCTCAGTGATAAAAGAAAACACTAAGGGCAACGCTAACAAGTGGGAAAGATGCTGAAGATGTCAGCAGTATTTATAGGAGGACACAGCTCTGCTTCTGCTCTCTATAACCTTCTGTTTATGCATCAGAAAAAGTATTTATGTTTAAAGATCCACACCAGCCACTAAATGGCACTAATCAGCACTCCAGCAGTGAAAGCTGTTCCACATCAGGGAGAGGAGGCCCCACGCCTCCACACCGCTGACATGTGAAAAACTCTGAGGAGAGTCAACCCAAGGAAGGCCCTGATAACGTACCTGGGCAGGTGTATAAGGAGCGTGCAGATCAGCTGGCTGGTGACATCACAGACACTTTTAAAATGAGAAGTCTGTTCATCACGGAATAAGCAATGGATCACTATTTATACCTAAAACTAATAGGTTCATGATGATTTAATGAATTTAGGGTAAAAATAATAATAATTTTCACAGAATCTGGGAGTGGCCATTTTTGCCCACATATACTAGCCCCTCCCTCCTGCCATCTTCCTGCAGTGACGTCACGGTGCGGTAAGCCTAGCGCCATTCTCCCCGCTTTCCAAGCTAAATCAATGGGAACTACTAGACACATCTGCAATCAACAACAATTATTGAAGATTTCCAGAGGACTTCACCATTGAATTTATATAAAAAATATAAGAAATAAGAATTTATATTGCAAAAAAAATAAAAGAGTTATTCCACCTTTCTGATTCCTGATCCTCCACGGACGGGTTGGTCGTTGGATCGCCAACTTGAAGAGGGAGGATTTGCCATCGAACTTCTGGCCAGAGAAAAAACCCGTAATATGTAGCCAACATTTGGAAGAAGAATGTTTTCAAGATGACTTGGATAATAGCGCGTTGTGACAAACACCAGATACAGCACTGGGACTTGATCAACAGCCGATACCGCACCGTGACGTCACAAACCAGTAGGTGGCAGTAGTGTTCTTTGACAGACATGGATGCCTCCAGTAAAGCACATTCACAGGAAAATGACTCTGAATTAAAAACACTGATCATTTATTGAACAGTATGTTATAATTTCATATTTAAAGTACTTGCAGAAGTTTTTATTTTTCTACTGATTAATGCTAACTTTATTAAATCACCGGGAACGTATTAGTTATACGTATAGATAATGATCCATTGATTATTTCTTGCTCACCTGACTTTTCCTTTAAAGACATTTCATCCCAGCGCTGCATGTCCCGAGCCCGTGACATCATCAATGACCCCTCACCCCCCCCACCATGGACTGTTCTCCCTGCTGCCCTCTGGGAAGAGGCTTCACAGCAGATTCTGCAACAGCTTCTTCCCCACCGCCATCAGACTGCTGAGCTAATGGAACTCGAATAAAGCCTCTGCATCAGACTTAAAAACATATTTGCACTACCAATGTGATTGACTTTTTCCATGATCCCCTTAAATAAACACAACTCAGTGTTCTCCTGGATTTTGCACATTTATTTACACTGCACTTTCCATGTTGATGCCTTTTGCACAATGACTTTAAACTGGTTTTCCTTTACTTCTACACTGTTACATTGTGATCACTTTATCAATGATAAAGTTCATTTCACTGTTGCATTAAGCTGTATGAATTAATTGTCATATTGTTGCACGTGACAAAGTTTGAGTCTAAATGGATCTAAACAATCTGACAGGAAGCAGTTCAGGTTTAATGAAAATAAAGAGGCGGAGCTGAAGGAGAACAGAGTTTATTACATTTATTCAAAAGGTTATTCCATCAAATCTGTCTACAGAGAAACACAGGAAGTCACAGCTGGATCTAAAAGAGCAAAACCTCAACAGATCACAGTCAGAACCAGAGCCTAGAACAGACCACACGTGACTTTTGGTTCCGTCAGAATTAACTTGTCCTTTATTTCCCCAGACACGGCTTCTAAATGCCACATGGAAAGCACGAGCACAGAAAATAGACACGCCTCTAAAGGTGAGAAAACATCTGGACAGAGGAGGGTTCTGATCCAAACATGGCGTCTGTGGCTCCCGCCCTGTTACAGCCGCACAGCGTCCTGATTGGCCGGCGAAAGTACAGAACCAAAGCTAGATCTAACCTCTGCTGGTCTGAGCTTCTGCCTTTAAAAACAGCAGAAACAAACTGATCATTATGAAGGATCACAAGCAAACTTTTCTGCTTCTATTTGATCTGAAGGTGAAAGAAAGAACCGTCAGAATGGATAAAAAGAAGATCGACTGCAGAGCAGGAAAACCCTACAGAGATAAAAGCATCAGTAATCAATCCATTTATTTTCTAAAACAAAGATCTGCAGTTTATTCCATCATAAATGAACATTCACAAAAACTTTGATAGGTTTAATACAAGACATGATTTTAAACAAATACCTGCAGCCTGCTTAGATCCCGTTTGGACCGACCTGCCTGAACCCAGAACCGTTCTGTTCGCTAAAATCTGACTGAGCGACCGATTTTAATCCAATCAGGAGAGACGCAGGGATCGTCTCTGACCACCAGGTGTCGCCAAAGATGAACCACAGAACAGTTTTCCAGCTGAAACACCAGAATCTGATCAACTTTCTGACGGTGAAGCTTTTCAAAACGCTTTTCCTGCAAATTCATTTCACTTTTTTTATAACAAACAGGAAGATCTCCAGCTTCTGTCTGACATTAAGATTATTTTCTGTTCTTTTTTTTTAGGGGTGGGGGGGTTGTATGAGATGCTAAATTAAAGCTGCAAGGCGCCGGGATGGGTTTGGCCCGACCCGGCTGCCTGTCCTCAGAGCAGCAGCTGCTACAAACACCAGGCAGAGCAGAAGAGAGTAAAAGCAGGTTCATTAAGCAGGCAGGGTCACACCTTCAGGTTCGTTTGTTTTGGTTTTTTCTTCTTCTTCGTGGAGTAAAGCCGTACAGGAAGTAGAGGCAGTGAGTCTTCAGGAAAGAAGCTCCTGGATGAAGCAGCGAGAAGCTAAAACTGCTACGAACAAAATCACTAAATACACGTTAATCTTCAGGAGTTAATATGTGGAATCTCTGCACGCTAACAGTAGCACGCTAACAGTAGCACTACCCCTACCATGGGCCGGCTCGCCGCTTCTGACCCACGACCTCCTGCGGTCTGCAGCTGGGAGGTCCCGTCCCGTCCACCAGCCTCCCCCGGTCCAACTAAGCCCATATATGATCAGTAGGTATTTAAAACCTTCCTCCTCCTCCTCTTCCTCCCACTCCGATGAAAATGAAAGGAGATCAGAAAGTCCCGCCCCCTGCGCTCCACCTGCCCCCCCTCCCTGTTAAACCACCCCGTCCTCAGAGTGACGTCCTCCTTGTTCCCATGAAGAAGAAAGGTGGAGGTGTCCAGGTGTTCTGAGTTCGGGGGTCGGGGTGTTGGTTGGGGTGGGGGGGTTCCTCAAAGTTCAGCCGGTTGAAGGAAACACGGCGGCAGCGCGGCGCCGCCGTTCAAGAGATCCCGCTCCCTCCGATCCAGGAGGGGCGTCGCCGCTCCTCGAACAGCCGAGGGGGGTGTGGGGGTGGGGGTGTGATTGAGCCTCATCGGGGGGTTGCCTCGCCTCCCCGGCCTCCACCGGTTCTCGCCGGTTTAATTGATTTGTGTTTTTTTTCCTCCGTTCCTCCTGGTGGTGGTTCGTCCGGACACAAAGCGCCGCCTGGCGCTGCGCTTCAGTGAGGCGGGTTCATGGCGCCGTGGCCTCTCTGCTGCTTCTGCTTCTGCTGCAGAAGGAGCTGCTCCAGCGCCGACGGGCCCGGCTGCATCATGGAGCTGGACCAGATGGACTGCAGGGGAGAAACCGGGTTAGAACGCAGACAGGACCCGCTTCTACAGAAGAACGGAGCCGATCGGATCACCTTCAGGCTGTCAAGCAGCACAGTGGAGGACGACTCGTCCATCGGAGACTCCTGATTGGTCCAGGAACTCCCTGTGGAACCGCCCTGGTGCCAACTGGGCTCAGGGCCTGAGGAGGACGCTGCAGCTGTGAGGTAGTCCAGACCAAAGCCACTTCCTGTAAGACCAGAACCAGAGAGGACGGGTTCAGAGAAACAGAACCGGAGAGGACGGGTTCAGAGAAACAGAACCGGAGAGGACGGCTTCAGAGAAACAGAACCAGAGAGGACGGGTTCAGAGAAACAGAACCGGAGAGGACGGGTTCAGAGAAACAGAACCGGAGAGGACGGGTTCAGAGAAACAGAACCAGAGAGGACGGGTTCAGAGAAACAGAACCGAGAGGACGGGTTCAGAGAAACAGAACCAGAGAGGACGGGTTCAGAGAAACAGAACCAGAGAGGACGGGTTCAGAGAAACAGAACCAGAGAGGACGGGTTCAGAGAAACAGAACCAGAGAGGACGGGTTCAGAGAAACAGAACCAGAGAGGACGGGTTCAGAGAAACAGAACCAGAGAGGACGGGTTCAGAGAAACAGAACCAGAGAGGACGGGTTCAGAGAAACAGAACCAGAGAGGACGGGTTCAGAGAAACAGAACCAGAGAGGACGGGTTCAGAGAAACAGAACCAGAGAGGACGGGTTCAGAGAAACAGAACCAGAGAGGACGGGTTCAGAGAAACAGAACCAGAGAGGACGGGTTCAGAGAAACAGAACCAGAGAGGACGGGTTCAGAGAAACAGAACCAGAGAGGACGGGTTCAGGGAAACAGAACCAGAGAGGACGGGTTCAGAGAAACAGAACCAGAGAGGACGGGTTCAGATTCAGAGAAACAGAACCGGAGAGGACGGGTTCAGATTCAGAGAAACAGAACCGGAGAGGACGGGTTCAGAGAAACAGAACCAGAGAGGACGGGTTCAGAGAAACAGAACCAGAGAGGACGGCTTCAGAGAAACAGAACCAGAGAGGACGGGTTCAGAGAAACAGAACCGGAGAGGACGGGTTCAGAGAAACAGAACCGGAGAGGACGGGTTCAGAGAAACAGAACCAGAGAGGACGGGTTCAGAGAAACAGAACCGGAGAGGACGGGTTCAGAGAAACAGAACCAGAGAGGACGGGTTCAGAGAAACAGAACCAGAGAGGACGGGTTCAGAGAAACAGAACCAGAGAGGACGGGTTCAGAGAAACAGAACCAGAGAGGACGGGTTCAGAGAAACAGAACCAGAGAGGACGGGTTCAGAGAAACAGAACCAGAGAGGACGGGTTCAGAGAAACAGAACCAGAGAGGACGGGTTCAGAGAAACAGAACCAGAGAGGACGGGTTCAGAGAAACAGAACCAGAGAGGACGGGTTCAGAGAAACAGAACCAGAGAGGACGGGTTCAGGGAAACAGAACCAGAGAGGACGGGTTCAGAGAAACAGAACCAGAGAGGACGGGTTCAGAGAAACAGAACCAGAGAGGACGGGTTCAGAGAAACAGAACCGGAGAGGACGGGTTCAGAGAAACAGAACCAGAGAGGACGGGTTCAGAGAAACAGAACCAGAGAGGACGGGTTCAGAGAAACAGAACCAGAGAGGACGGGTTCAGGGAAACAGAACCAGAGAGGACGGGTTCAGAGAAACAGAACCAGAGAGGACGGGTTCAGAGAAACAGAACCAGAGAGGACGGGTTCAGAGAAACAGAACCAGAGAGGACGGGTTCAGAGAAACAGAACCAGAGAGGACGGGTTCAGAGAAACAGAACCGGAGAGGACGGGTTCAGATTCAGAGAAACAGAACCGGAGAGGACGGATTCAGAGAAACAGAACCAGAGAGGACGGGTTCAGAGAAACAGAACCAGAGAGGACGGGTTCAGAGAAACAGAACCAGAGAGGACGGGTTCAGAGAAACAGAACCAGAGAGGACGGGTTCAGAGAAACAGAACCGGAGAGGACGGGTTCAGAGAAACAGAACCGGAGAGGACGGGTTCAGAGAAACAGAACCGGAGAGGACGGGTTCAGAGAAACAGAACCGGAGAGGACGGGTTCAGAGAAACAGAACCAGAGAGGACGGGTTCAGAGAAACAGAACCAGAGAGGACGGGTTCAGAGAAACAGAACCAGAGAGGACGGGTTCAGAGAAACAGAACCAGAGAGGACGGGTTCAGAGAAACAGAACCAGAGAGGACGGGTTCAGATTCAGAGAAACAGAACCGGAGAGGACGGGTTCAGATCAGAGAAACAGAACCAGAGAGGACGGGTTCAGAGAAACAGAACCAGAGAGGACGGGTTCAGAGAAACAGAACCAGAGAGGACGGGTTCAGAGAAACAGAACCAGAGAGGACGGGTTCAGAGAAACAGAACCAGAGAGGACGGGTTCAGAGAAACAGAACCAGAGAGGACGGGTTCAGAGAAACAGAACCAGAGAGGACGGGTTCAGAGAAACAGAACCAGAGAGGACGGGTTCAGAGAAACAGAACCAGAGAGGACGGGTTCAGAGAAACAGAACCAGAGAGGACGGGTTCAGAGAAACAGAACCAGAGAGGACGGGTTCAGAGAAACAGAACCAGAGAGGACGGGTTCAGAGAAACAGAACCAGAGAGGACGGGTTCAGGGAAACAGAACCAGAGAGGACGGGTTCAGGGAAACAGAACCAGAGAGGACGGGTTCAGAGAAACAGAACCAGAGAGGACGGGTTCAGAGAAACAGAACCAGAGAGGACGGGTTCAGAGAAACAGAACCAGAGAGGACGGGTTCAGAGAAACAGAACCAGAGAGGACGGGTTCAGAGAAACAGAACCAGAGAGGACGGGTTCAGAGAAACAGAACCAGAGAGGACGGGTTCAGAGAAACAGAACCAGAGAGGACGGGTTCAGATTCAGAGAAACAGAACCGAGAGGACGGGTTCAGATTCAGAGAAACAGAACCGGAGAGGACGGGTTCAGAGAAACAGAACCAGAGAGGACGGGTTCAGAGAAACAGAACCAGAGAGGACGGGTTCAGAGAAACAGAACCAGAGAGGACGGGTTCAGAGAAACAGAACCAGAGAGGACGGGTTCAGAGAAACAGAACCAGAGAGGACGGGTTCAGAGAAACAGAACCAGAGAGGACGGGTTCAGCAGTGTAACTGTTTGATTCCTTTTATCTCTTTAATAAAATCTTCATTATCTCAGTTTTTTCACTTTAAAAGGTAAAATAATCAAATCCTCTGCAGAACCTAAACCAACCACCAGGTGTCACCATCGCAGCAGCAGATTGAGGGGCTTATTTTAAAAACATCAAAAAATGGAGCAAAGCAAAAACTCCTGACTTCCAAAACAAGCTCTAGATCCCTGATGTTTCCCTCCAAGGCTCCGCCCCTCTCCGCCATCTCTCCTTTCACCCCTCCCCCCCTCTGAGCTCTTGGAAGCTGTTCCTATGTGAGGCTTAAACCCAGACTGACCTGGTTTCTCAGCTTTCCAGCGGTCCACGACCCGCCGGTCTCGGCTGTCTGGGGTTCCAATGGGGCCAAAGTTGGAGAAGGGCACGGCTCCGTGGCTGTGGGTGGGAGGGGAGGAGGGCAGGCTGCTGGGGTTGGAGGAGTGGGGGGACTGGCTGGCTGGGGTGGAGTGGTCTGCCAATCAGAGAGCAGCAGGGTTAGTGATGTCACTTCCTGAAACAGCCCCCGCTTGGTGGGCTCCTTACCTGAGCTGGCAGGGAGGGAGGGGGACCAGGGGTTCCCCTGGAACAGCGAGTAGAGGGAGGGCTCCTGTTGCATCATGGGAGAGTCGGGTTTGGAGCTGGGTGGCAGGTTCTTCCCGTAGGCCTGGCTGAAGATGCTGCTGTGGTTAAACTCCTGCAGAAACAGAGCACTCTGATCATCCACCGGGACCAAACAATCCGCTCTACAACCTTACAGCCAGGTTCTGGTTCCGCTGGTCAGGCCTTCCAGAACAAACCTGACGTTCGTAAACTGATTTAACAGCAGGTCCAGGTTTAAAATCATGACCTTCCTCTAATCCACCCCACCCAAACAGACAGAGACCAGCTGAGGGGCTTTGGTTCACGGTTCTGGTCCAGAACGGACCTCCTGCTACAGAACCCCCAGTTACAGCCCAGACCATCACACCACCAGCGCCGTGCCTGATATTCTGGTTGTGAAGAGCTGCTGGGTTTACAGCTAATGGAACCGTCCATAACGGCCATCCTTCTACTCTTTACGCCATTTTCTAATATAAACTGGATCTTTGTGACGTTTCAGGACAGCAGAGGTTCTGGTTCTGCATCCAGTTCGTCTCGCACTGCTGAATCTTGACCTCTGACCTCAGCTGGGGCAGTGAGGCCAGCAGAGATCTGGTTCCAGGTTCTTCCTGGATTAGTTCTGGTAGGTCGGCTTCTCTGGTTCTCTGGGGTCCAAAGTCTCTCAAACATCTGTTCTTCTTTAACCGTTTATAGGGCCCTCAGTGAAACGGTTTGATAATCAACATTTCCTGCTAATAGCATTATTGGAGTTCAGGACAAGACCTTATTAACTTTGGAACATTAAAAAAATCTGGATATTTTAATGGCAGAAATTAGTGTCAATGTAATAACGAGAAACGCCATCTTTCCCCTAGATATTAAGAAAAATAACTAAAGTGCTTCTAGAAGAAATTCATGAAAAACACTCAGAGTGAAAGAAACACATTTTTTTTGGTCCAACATAACCTTAGAGGCATTAATGCTGATACTGGCACTGACATTCTATAGTTCATAAACCTAAATATATTTGTTAACTAGGCTTATTAACTTTTTAAATTTACTTTTTAATTTTTCAATTAGTTTACCTTTTTTTTCTTGATTGTTAAATTTTTTTAACCTAATTTCCAGTGGGTAATATATCATTCAGGGGCTCATCTAATTGGTCAAACCAACATCAGACGTACAGCCATGTAGCAGCATCTTTGCTGAATGGATGGATATAGATCTTGTGATCAAAAGTGATCAAAAACGCCAACTTTCGCTATTAAGGGGTTGAGTTGATTCCTTCCCGCTATCATCATAACCCCCCCACCCCCCTACAGGGGAACAAAAGACATTGCCTGTTAATCCAGGCCAACAACCTTTAATGACCCCCCTTTCAGGGACGTAGACAGGTATGGGGCATTGCAGGCCCGTTTATCCGTTTCTATTTGCACAAAAACAAGGCTTTGTTGCTATTTCTGACATTTTGAATTGAAAAATCTTCCTGGATGGGAAGCAAAATGTCTTCAAACTTGAAAACAAACTCCAGTAGATTGATTTTTAACTTTTTTTGGGCAGCCCTATAAAAGCTTAAACTGGAGCAAGAGACGTTTCTGCCTACTTCATGTTTCCATACTGGTTCTACGGGTCTGGCTGTAATCAGTTCTGGGTGTTTTATAAATGACACTAAATCTGGATAATAACATTAGATCAGAACCATCATGAATTAAACCAGTTGGTTTTATTTCAAGTAGAAAACCTTCTGCTTTATACTGGTTTGATCCATTTGAGCTGAAAAGTGAAGGACTGGAACAGACTGGAACACGACGCCCTGTGGGCGATCAGACGGTCCTGACCTGCACTGGGAAGCCGCTGATGGCCAGCAGAGACGACGGCTGGCCCACCGCCTCCTGGCTGCTCTCCATCCTGCTCTGGTTTGGCAGCTAAACACACGAAGGAAACACCATTCAGTCTATCATCTATCCAACACAGATCTATGTGCTGATGCTTTAGCTGACATGATCAGACCCAAACCCTGACAAAGATAAGGGATCAGGATGAGCAGAGGCAGGATGAGGAGGGTGGGGGTGAGGAACATGCGGCTACATACAAAGATATTGGGTCCAGGAGCAGAGCTAAGGGGGCCGGCCAGCGCCTGGAAGAAATCAGGAGGCTTAGCAAAGATCAGCTCCTCGTCCTCCTCAAAGTCTGCTAGAGTTTTTAACAGGTCAGGAGGAAGGAAAGGCGAGCTCTTGTCCTAGTGAGAGAGGAAGCAAGGAGAGGAGGAAAAGGAGAGAAGAAAGAAGGAAGGCCAGTAAGAAGAGCAGAACCAGGCCCAGCAGAACGGGCTGCAGCTCCAGCAGGACGGCTGCTGGAAGGAAAAGGAGGAAACTGCAGCAAAGTGGGCAGAGAAACGCCGTCTCCCTTCAGCTCACCTCGAATGGGGCTCCTCGGGGCCCCCTAGGGACCTCCTGCTCCACACACATCCCACCAGGAGGAGGCCTCTTCATCCTGTCCCCCATCATGGCCAGCCCCTCCGCCGTCCGCTCCATCCGGTACGACGGCTCCCAGTAGAAGTCCTGGATCTTCACGTCAGGGAACTTCATCTTCTTGTCCATGTTGGAGATCTGAGGCTGCAGCTGCTGCTCGTACAGCTTCAGGGGGTCCTGGCCCCCCAGGAAGAACGCCTGCTGCTGCTTCATGGACATCTGCAGGGGGGACATCTTCTGCAGCGCCGCCTGGGACTGGTTCCACATGGGGGCCGTCTGGTCCTGGATGTACTGATCAGAGCAGAGGGACAGCTGGAGGTGAGCAGGGACGCCGCCTCAACGGGACGAGCCGCGGGTCATGTGACCTACCTGCTGCAGGCCCGGGTGGTGGGGCGGGCTCTTACCCATCCCCCCCTGCTGCACCGGTTTGGTGGGCGACTGCTGCTGCTGATTGAGGGCCTGGACCTGCAGCTGCACCGACTGCTGCAGGGCCTGCTGGGGGGACGGCTGCTGCTGCTGAGCCTGGGAGGGCACCTGGTTGAGGGGCCCCGGGCCCTGGCCCGCCGAGCCGGGCCCCGACGGTCTCTGCTGGCTGTAGGGAATGTGGGACTGCTTCCCAGCCTGGCCGCCCGCCCCGCCGTGGACCGCAGACTGGAGGAAAGGAGCGGGGACCGAGACTCCGGCGGGGAAGGTGAAGCCTGGACTCACCTGCAGGCCTGGGAACGCCACAGGGGGGGGGATGACATAGGCCGAGGGGGGGAAACCTGCAGAGGAGGCAAACGGGTCATCTGGGCCTCTTCATCGACAACGGACCAGCAGGGATTAACAGCTACAGATTGACCCCCCCCTGCAGGGCCCTTCATTTGATACAATCCGTAACAGAAGTCGGTTCATTTTTCATCTTTTTCTTTAAATTCTTTTATTTCCAAACTTAAAGAGACATTTAGGTTTTCACTGAAAATATATTTTTTATGTTAACCTTTTACCCCAGGTTTAACTAAAGTCGGCGCTGGGGGGGCCGCTGGGGGGCCGCTGTCCTGCAGGTTTTAGAGGTTTCTCAGCTCCAGCACAGCTGATTTTCACTGATGGCTGATTTACAGGCTTTTGTTGAACTGCAACCATCAGAATCAGCTGTGCTAAGGATTGAGATTATAATCGAATCATTCAGTAATCCATTAATCATTAAATTAGCTGACAGAGTGACCCACACAGAGCAGGAGTTAAGTAGAGATTGTGAAAAAATTTATAAAAAATTTGGCATTTAAGATAAATAAATAAAATATGTTTTCATGAGACATTCTGCTCTTTCCAGAAAAGTTTTAGTTTCACCTGGTTTGATTCTGTAAAAATCTTCAAGGCTATCCGATTAATAATCAATTAATCAAAAAATACTCAACGGATTAATCGATTTTCAAAAACAATCGTTAGTTGCAGCTTAACAATTTATTGGTTATTTAAAAAGCTGTTTTTTATCTCAATAACTGATTAATCAAAGGTGAGCAGGTTTAACCCTTTTGGCTCTGGCGGTAACGACGGTGGCGCCGAGCTGCGGCACGCTTCCCTTTAATGTCTAACCAATGATGGAGAATTCCTGGAGCTCTTTCCAGGCTTTTCCAGGATTTCCAGGCAGAGACGGGTTTGATGTTTGGAGCTCAGACAGGAAGTGGGCCGGCGTGTTCTGGACCTACCGGGTCTGCTGGGCAGCGGGGGGAACGCTCCGGGATGATGGATGGGGATGAACTGGGACGAGCAGGTGGTCTGAGTCTGGGTGGGCGGAGTCTTCTTGGCCTCAGAGACCGGAGTCTTCCTCAGCTCCGTCTGAGCCTTCACCTGATGAAGAAGAGCGGTTACTGATTGGATGGGAACTATTCTGAGCGGGTCACAGGGACCACCCTAACCTGTTTGCCTACATCAGCCGTCTTCTCGTGGCCGGCCTTCTTCATCTCGCTCTTCCTCTTCCCGTCCCTCTTGGGCTCTCCTTTCCCGATGGCGGCGGCGGTGCCGGCGGCGGTCCCGTTGCCCTTGCATAAGTCGCGGCGCTCCTTGCCGAGGTCTTTCAGTGGGAGGTTCCTGGCGGGCTCCTGGCTCTGCTCTCTGGGCTTGATGTTCTCCTTGAAGGTGACGACGGGCCGCTCGCCGCTGTCCGACCACGAGCTCTGCGTCTTCCCGGCAGACAGAACCGACTTCAGGCCCGCAGTGCCGCCGTCGTTCTGGCTCTGCTCACCGTTGGACGACTCCTGCAGCACCGGGGCCTCCTTCTCCTGAGGCTCCGGGATGGCCTCCTCTGGAATGTCGGTGAGGAAGAGGAGGAGCCCGTCTTCGTTGACTCGGCACCGGATCAGCCTGCAGAGATGGAGAAGTTGGTTGTGTGGGACCGGACTCGTCACAGACTCACGGGGCGAAGCGGGGCGGCGCAGAACTCACCCCGGCTGGTTGTCGGCCATCCATTTCCCCAGAGCGATCAGCCGCTGGTGGCGAGCGTGCAGCGGCAGCCCCTCCCGATCCAGAAGGATGCCCTGGTGACCTCTGGTGAAGTCCAAACACCTGAAACATCCACAGACGCCATGAGTCCCGCCCCCACCCACCAGAACAGTTCTACAGAACCAGAGGAGCTCTGTACCTGAGAGCCGGTCGCAGCGCCAGGAAACCCTGCAGCTCAAACTCCTCTGGCAGCGGCAGCACTGTGGACGAAACAAACGCACCCTTTGGTTAAACACCTGACAGAACCGGGCCTGAACCGCGCTACTGAGGTGTGTTTGCAGAACCTGAGGAGGAAGAGGAGGAGGAGAGGTCTTCCTCTCTGGGCTGGAAGCTGTTGAGGATGGACACCAGCCACGGCCAGATGCTGCGGAGATGGAGAGAATGTTACGGCCCAAAGGTTCTCGCTGCAGAACCAGGAAGAGGAAGATGGTGGACTTACTACTTCCTGTTCTCCACGGCCGCTTCCTGGAAGATGCTGCTCCGCAGTTTGAGCCAATCCAAGGACAGCTTGATGGCCGGCAGAGGACACTCCCCCATCAGCTCCTCCCCTCGGTTCTTGTCGAGCAGAACCCGGCTGCACATCACTCCCAGGAAGGACACTGAGAAGAGAGGAAGGCAGGTCCGCTTTCAGAGGAACATCAGGCTTCTGACTGGGTTTAATTCAGATCCGGCCCAACGCGCGCCTCGCTTTCCGGGCCCACCGAGACGCGCGCCTCGCTTTCCGGGCCCACCGAGACGCGCGCCTCGCTTTCCGGGCCCACCGAGACGCGCGCCTCGCTTTCCCGGCCCACCGAGACGCGCGCCTCGCTTTCCCGGCCCACCGAGACGCGCGCCTCTCTTTCCCGGCCCACCGAGACGCGCGCCTCTCTTTCCCGGCCCACCGAGACGCGCGCCTCTCTTTCCCTGCCCACCGAGACGCGCGCCTCTCTTTCCCTGCCCACCGAGACGCGCGCCTCTCTTTCCCGGCCCACCGAGACGCGCGCCTCGCTTTCCCTGCCCACCGAGACGCGCGCCTCTCTTTCCCGGCCCACCGAGACGCGCGCCTCGCTTTCCCGGCCCACCGAGACGCGCGCCTCGCTTTCCCGGCCCACCGAGACGCGCGCCTCGCTTTCCCGGCCCACCGAGACGCGCGCCTCGCTTTCCCGGCCCACCGAGACGCGCGCCTCGCTTTCCCGGCCCACCGAGACGCGCGCCTCTCTTTCCCTGCCCACCGAGACGCGCGCCTCTCTTTCCCGGCCCACCGAGACGCGCGCCTCTCTTTCCCGGCCCACCGAGACGCGCGCCTCTCTTTCCCGGCCCACCGAGACGCGCGCCTCTCTTTCCCGGCCCACCGAGACGCGCGCCTCTCTTTCCCGGCCCACCGAGACGCGCGCCTCGCTTTCCCTGCCCACCGAGACGCGCGCCTCGCTTTCCCTGCCCACCGAGACGCGCGCCTCTCTTTCCCTGCCCACCGAGACGCGCGCCTCTCTTTCCCGGCCCACCGAGACGCGCGCCTCGCTTTCCCTGCCCACCGAGACGCGCGCCTCGCTTTCCCGGCCCACCGAGACGCGCGCCTCGCTTTCCCTGCCCACCGAGACGCGCGCCTCGCTTTCCCTGCCCACAGAGACGCGCGCCTCGCTTTCCCTGCCCACCGAGACGCGCGCCTCGCTTTCCCTGCCCACCGAGACGCGCGCCTCGCTTTCCCTGCCCACCGAGACGCGCGCCTCGCTTTCCCGGCCCACCGAGACGCGCGCCTCGCTTTCCCGGCCCACCGAGACGCGCGCCTCTCTTTCCCTGCCCACCGAGACGCGCGCCTCGCTTTCCCTGCCCACCGAGACGCGCGCCTCTCTTTCCCGGCCCACCGAGACGCGCGCCTCGCTTTCCCGGCCCACCGAGACGCGCGCCTCTCTTTCCCTGCCCACCGAGACGCGCGCCTCGCTTTCCCGGCCCACCGAGACGCGCGCCTCGCTTTCCCGGCCCACCGAGACGCGCGCCTCGCTTTCCCGGCCCACCGAGACGCGCGCCTCGCTTTCCCGGCCCACCGAGACGCGCGCCTCTCTTTCCCTGCCCACCGAGACGCGCGCCTCGCTTTCCCGGCCCACCGAGACGCGCGCCTCGCTTTCCCTGCCCACCGAGACGCGCGCCTCGCTTTCCCTGCCCACCGAGACGCGCGCCTCGCTTTCCCTGCCCACCGAGACGCGCGCCTCGCTTTCCCTGCCCACCGAGACGCGCGCCTCGCTTTCCCTGCCCACCGAGACGCGCGCCTCGCTTTCCCGGCCCACCGAGACGCGCGCCTCGCTTTCCCGGCCCACCGAGACGCGCGCCTCGCTTTCCCGGCCCACCGAGACGCGCGCCTCTCTTTCCCTGCCCACCGAGACGCGCGCCTCGCTTTCCCTGCCCACCGAGACGCGCGTCTCGGTGGACGCGCGCCTCTCTTTCCCTGCCCACCGAGACGCGCGCCTCTCTTTCCCTGCCCACCGAGACGCGCGCCTCTCTTTCCCTGCCCACCGAGACGCGCGCCTCGCTTTCCCTGCCCACCGAGACGCGCGCCTCGCTTTCCCTGCCCACCGAGACGCGCGCCTCGCTTTCCCTGCCCACCGAGACGCGCGCCTCGCTTTCCCTGCCCACCGAGACGCGCGCCTCGCTTTCCCTGCCCACCGAGACGCGCGCCTCGCTTTCCCTGCCCACCGAGACGCGCGCCTCGCTTTCCCTGCCCACCGAGACGCGCGCCTCGCTTTCCCGGCCCACCGAGACGCGCGCCTCTCTTTCCCGGCCCACCGAGACGCGCGCCTCGCTTTCCCTGCCCACCGAGACGCGCGCCTCGCTTTCCCTGCCCACCGAGACGCGCGCCTCGCTTTCCCTGCCCACCGAGACGCGCGCCTCTCTTTCCCTGCCCACCGAGACGCGCGCCTCTCTTTCCCGGCCCACCGAGACGCGCGCCTCTCTTTCCCTGCCCACCGAGACGCGCGCCTCGCTTTCCCTGCCCACCGAGACGCGCGCCTCGCTTTCCCTGCCCACCGAGACGCGCGCCTCGCTTTCCCGGCCCACCGAGACGCGCGCACAGAGCAGGAATTAAATTGTAAAAAACAGGAAAAAACATTTACCATTTAATATAAAAAGAAAACGTTTTCATCTGTCACTATGCTTTAACCAGAACGGAACAATTTAATTTCACCTGGTTTAATTTTGGAAAAAATCTTCTTTAAGAAGTCTTTGGTTATCTGATTATTCATTGAAAAAGTAAATGACATTAATCGATGTGCAAGATAAAGGTTAGTTGCAGCTAGGGGTGTAAATAATAATCGTTTTGTATCGATGCATCGACACGTCTGCAAGAGAATCGATTCATGTTTTTTTTTCCTCCGGTCTATTTTTATCCATTTGCGTAATTCTCCCTCCCGTGCTGCGGTGGCGCTAAACCTATTTTGCCCTCCTACCTCGCTTCCTGGTTATACCGCCGAGGCGGTGAGGAAGTGGGGGCAAGTTTAGTCCGACGATGGAGGGACATGAGGGCCAAAAAGAGCAGAGATCCAGGTGGAAAAAGGCTCCCAGCATTCTCGCACACCTCGCTCTGCTAGCAGGTCAAACTTCAAGAGTTGTTTTCCGCAATTTCGGTCATAAAAACAAAACAAGTCGGCCTCCTGTCTGCGGTCAGCTACAATTAGGGAGAGGAGCAGCGGAGCGTCTGTGGAGGGGGCGGGACGTCTGGAGTCGAGGTATCGCATTGAACTCATTGCACTGATTGTGTGCAGCATTTTTTGAGGCAAGGCCTTTCAGAATCGATAACGCAGGGGTATTATTATTTTTCAGTGAATGAAAAATAAAAAAATAAATGAATAAAAAATGAACCAATTAATCGAATCATATGGTGGTGTATTCTTGAGTATCAATAATAATCGAATCGTTGGGTCAGGAAATCGATACTGAATCGAATCACCATGATGGATGTGATTTACACCCCTACCTCCTACCCATCTATAAAGCAGTGGAGTCAGTGAGACCAGGAACAATCGGAGATTAAAAAGTAGCTGTGACCTGAGCTTAAAATGTCAGCATCATGAAAACCTCAGATTTAGAATTCATAGTGGAAACGGACTGTGGATGGACTGATTCTGGAAACACAGGATTAGTTTATGGCTGTTAAAGTTTAAACGAGCAGCACAACCATGAATCCCGTTAGATTACCTTTGGGTTCGGGTCGGGCTCTCTGCCCTGATCTATACTCTAATCTCTACGCTGCAAAAATTATCTTAAAAAGAGTAATTTTTTTAAATCTGTGCATCTACCCTTAATATGTAATAATGCGTATGTAAATATGATGACCAGCCAGTAAAGGCAGGGTATTTGAGTATTATATGATAATTAGATAATATACACTTGAAATAAGAGACTACAGTTGGTTTTTCTGATCATAAATGGAAATAATCTTATTCCATTGGCAAAGTGTCTCACTTACCTCCCTAATTCTAGGGAAAAAAATTGTTATTTTAAGAAAAAATGACTTAAGTTGACATTTTTAGAAGCGTATGTCTGACAGGACAGAGGGAAACAGATCAGAACCAGTCTGGGCTTCCTTTCCCAGTTCTTACCGAAGAGTCCGAGCAGCTGGAACCAGCTGAGCTGCTGCTCGCCGCTGCAGCCGGGCTCGCCGCCGTCGGCCGTCAGGTCTCTGAGGTGATGCAGCTCGAACAGGTTGATGACGGTGATGTGGACCAGCTGCTGGGAGCTGAAGGCTTTCTGCAGGATCAGCCTCTGCACACACACACACACAGACGATGAGCTGGGTGACGGGAACTCGGGCCGGACCCGACGGGCAGCAGGTGACACCGATGTACCTGAAACTGCTCCTCCAGCTTCTCCCTCAGGGGGTCCAGTTTATCCAGGCTCTTGCTCAGATAGACGTGGCCGTGGAACTTGATGAAGGCTTTGATGAAATCAGAGACGCTCCACTTGGTTCGGACCTCATCGCGGCTGCAGACACAGAAGAAGACATTAGACGGTGGTCTGGGGGGGTCGCAGCGCTGCCTGGCTGGGTGAGGAGCGGCTACCTTTCCAGCGCCTTGGACAAAGCCTTCTGCAGGTTGGTGGAGGCTGCAGGGAAGGGGAACTTGACGGCGATGCTGCGGCAATAGTAGAAGATGGTGGTGAGGTGGTCTCCTTTGGAGGAGGCCAGGATGGCCAGCTGGTTGTAGGGCTGACCTGCAGAGGGACCACAGGATGGTCAGCACAGCAGGAAACTACAAACATGGCCGCCCATCAGCTGGTCTACCTTCAGCTGATGATAGATAGATTACGCACTATGTACCATAATATTAACACCGAAGAAACCAAAACTCAGAAAGCTGCTGAAGATTCTCAGTCATCCAGGTCACAGTCATTCCAAAAGATGGAAATTAAAAACAAAGTCCAGTGGATTGTTTTTAATTTTCTTTTTTTTTTTGGAATAAAACTCAGAAAGACTAGATTTTTGTTTAGATCCAAAGCAGAAACAGTTAGCTCCTGGAGTTAGCGTAGGACCCATTAATGCATTTAATTTCTCAGGAAATACATTATTAACACATTATAGTTTAGTGCGCTTAGTTTTTTAGGCTAAAAAAAAGTAATTTAGGTCTTTTGTCCTGTGACCTGGATGTATATCTGGTTGCACAGATGAGCTGATGGTTCTTTGGGGATAGGGCAAAAGGAAAAAAAAAATCTAAATATAATGGCAATTTAGATTTTTACCAAAATTGTTCGGCTCTAGTAAATACAAACACTGGATATAGTTTTCACCTCAATCGCAGGTCTTCAACAGGGGACTGCGAACCCTAGGGGGTCCCCAGAGGTACTGCATGGGGGTCACAAATGCTTGGGTGGATTAGGCTTTTTTTTTTTTTATATTCCCCCCTGTAATTTTTTCATTAATTGAAATGTCTTTAAATCCACATTAACATGAATTCAACACACTGTAGTAAACAGATAAATGGAGGCAGAAGATGTCTTTCAGTCATCAATGCACACATTCAGCGACACACAGGAGCTCTTTCAAACTGGGCACCGTTTCATTCACAACACCTGTCCCATCAACAAGGAATCAGAAATACTTTAATAATCCCAGGGAGGAATTACTTTAGTTACATTACTCCATCTGTAATAAAGTGACTATAGGACCAGTTTGATGGAAAGCAATTTCATACAATATATATAATTAGGGGGTCACCGCTCCATCTCACCAACAGTTTGGGGGTCCTTGGCCTGGAAAAGACCCCTGACCTAAATGGCTCTTATTTCACCAAGTCTAGTGAAATAGGAGCCATGCATGTTACCTTATTATTTATTATTTACCTTATTATTTAAGGTAGCATGCTAGGTGTAGCAATATTAAGCTCAGTTTTTGGGGTGTTGTGAATAATTTAGACGAGTTAGCACTTTCCTGTGTTCTACTTAAGAACGGACTCTGCAAGAACACCAGTCCCAACTTGTGTTCCTGTGAATTGAGAAACGGCCTAACTCTGTTTATGTACCACCTACTACAGCTGAAGTTAGCTGATAAAATACATTGATGCAGTACATTCATTAAATTCAGCACTTTATAAAAAAAATATTTAGCCTTAAATGTTCTGGAAAATGCTCTGGTTACCAGAGAAACCTTTTAGGTTTTAGACAAATGGCTGTTATCAGCTAGCATCTCTAGTATAGACCCTTAATTGCTGTGATGATCAATTCTTTTAATAATCCTTATTTTTGTGTTTTTGTTCACTTTAGTACTCGCTTACAGTTATCTGTAATTTCTGAAATTATAATGTAATTATTATATTTATTATATTACTATTTAACTATTATTAAACTATTAATTTAGTTTCATAAAATCAACAATTTGACCTTTTAGTTCTGCTCCTAAAACCTGAGGATAAAACAACTGAAACTATAACCTGAACTAATGGAAACTAAACACAGGCTTTATTAAAATAATAGTGACCCATACCAATCAGAACTAAATAGAACCAAATGAACTAAAGTGAAACCCAGATCCAAGTAAACTAGAATCCAAACTGATTCTGACCCACTGCTGCAGAACCAGAACCACTGAGATGAACGTCAGGCAGATGGACCAACAGATGGTCCCGGCAGAGCTGCGGCTCTCATTGCCATGGAAACAGCTGGTTCTGAAGTGCTGCTGGGTCAACCAGTTCTGGTTTGGTGAACAAACTCCAAGCAGAACCGGAACCAGAACCCTGTAGCTGTGTTCTAGCAGAGAACCTGGAGAGTCCAGAAGCAGGTTCTGAGCCTGTTTCCTTCAGTGAGGAATATGACACCGGGTCAGGCCGGGTGAGGCTCAGCAGGGACGCAGAGAGAGGCGGTCCGACTCACCGTTGGATGGAACCAGCTGGGCTGCGTGTCTGTAGTACGACTCTGCCTGGCTGGTCTGGTTCCGGTAGCGAGCTGAAAGAGGAGCAGAAACACCATCTGGATCAGAACCAGAGGAAAGCCGTCCCACCGGGTCAGACCGGCTGCAGCAGAAAGGCAGGTTCTGACCGATGTCTCCCAGGTGGACCAGGCAGTGCTGGCAGATGTAGGAGCAGGAGCTGGGCTGAGGCGTGATGATGCCGCCGCCGCCGCCGCTCTGCTTGCTGCTGATGATGCCGAGCTGAGACGACCGGACGCGGCAGGGCAGGTCTACGTTAAAGACGGTGCAGAGCTCCTGGAGCAGCTGGAAGGCAGCACAAAACCAGAACCACTCAGTAGACTGGACCTCACTGGGTCACACACCGTCCTCCCCTCCTGGTTCTGGTCTAATTTAACATCTTTCAGGTTCTAACCCGTCTGTCAGAACCCTGAACCCAAACAGCAGGGGTTCTGACCCGACCAGCAGGTGGAGCTCCTGGGTGGTACCTGAGTGTAGAAGCCGCTGGCGGCCTCCAGGAACAGCGACAGGTTGGCCTGGACCTCGCTCCGGTTGGGGTTGGCCCGGTTCTTGGCCTGGCTCTGCAGGGTGGTAATCTGGTTCTTAAAGGCGTGGTTCCACCTGCAGCCAAAGAGACGGGTCAAAGGTAAGCAAGAACCAAAGAGACTCAGTATCTGGTTCTGATTGTTCCTCTGACTACTCCATTTTTGATCAGAGCAACAGGAGGTCAAAGGTTCAATCATCAGAACCGGTCCTGATCAGAACCAGGCGGTGTGTCCGGGTGCAGCAGCTTACAGGTCCTGCTCCACCTTCTTGTCCAGAGCGTACTCCAGGTCCGTCACCAGCATCTTCTGGTAGAGATCCTGCAGCGCCTGGCGGGACGTCCACACCTCTGCTGCCCCCAGCTTTGAGTCTGGCAGAGGAGGGACAGAAGAAGAGGAGGGTAGATGGTACCGGTTCTGCTCTCAGGTGGATGTTTTACAGCAGAAATGAGTTCTGAGACCAAACTGGACCTGAAATGTTCCTGATAGTTTCTGATCATCCTAATCTGTCTTATGCTGCGTTTACACCGGATGCAGCTGGCACGACAGAAGCAGCGAGTTTACATGCAAAGTCAATGGTTGACGCGCGTCAAGGCGCAGCAAAAGGTCCCGCAGCGCGTCTGAGCAGCTGAAGCAGCGCGTCGGGCGCGCTGCAAACGCGCTGTTGCACGAGATGGAAAATTTGAATTTTTGCTGCTCGACGCGCCGCGTCAACCAATCAGAGAAGCTGATCTGGGAGCTGGCAGGGAGAGAGACACATCGCTGATGATCAGAGGCTATGATCACTCCTCTCAAACAGTTTATTGACGCCTAAATTAACTTAAAATGCAGAAATCTGCCGGCAGAATATGTTCCCTTTTATTATCCTGGTGCCTGCAGATCGGATTATTTAGATGAAAAGCACCTACCAGCTGCCGCGGTGAACCGCGAGGAGGCGACCCGGCCAGAGACTGCTGTTGAAGGGATTCCTACTGTCGGCGCACCGCTGGTATGTGGGGGTCTGAGCGGCTCCGACAGAAATAATATTGGAAGGCAGGATGGTAATCTGGATGAACTGACTGCACTGATGAAGTTTTCAGGTGGATTTTCTCACTTAAAAACATATTAAAACTACTTTATTCACACTGATCACAGCAAATATAGCTGCAAGGCAGAGAAAGGATAGAGTAGCACCGTCCAACGCGCGTCAGACACACTTTTTCACCGCGCAGCCAGAGCAGCAAAGCTGCTTCAGCCGCGCGTCAGAACTAAACTGGTACAAGCAGCAAAAAGGAAGCAGCAGACGCGATTTTGCTGCTTTTGCTGCGTCCGGTGTGAACGTAGCATTAATCTGCAGTGAAATGGAGACAAAGATCTACTGGGTTCCTCCTCAGAGGAACTTTCTTCACAACTTTAGGAGAAGTTCTAATAAAACATTTAAAGCTTTCATTTTATCTGATGATGAAGTCTAATCATCGACTTTCTCCTGTACTCCACTGATGAAAGGAACCCTTCTACTGGCTGTGGACTCCTGAATCAGGTCAGAGGTCATGATCCGCTCAGCGACGTACACAGGCAGTCCATCAGGTCCTGCTCGGTAAAGCAAAGTTGGGCTTTGCTTCCCCGTTTCACTGCCTGACTTTCTTTTTAAAAAATTTTCTGGCTGCAACTAACGATTCATTTACTAATTGATTAATCTGTCACTTTTTTTTTTTATTAATCAATGAACATTTGGATGGTAAAATCTCCTTAAAGTAGATTTTTCACAGGAATAAACGAGGCGAAACTAAAACTTTTCCACTTGAGGAGTTCTGGAATATAGAGCATAGTCAAATATAAAAGTTTCTTATTTTAAATGAAAAATATTAACACATATATATTCACAAAGTTGGTATAATTCCTGCTCTTAGCGGGTAGCTCTGTCAGCTAAAGGCATGTTTTACAGTCTCTATTATCCAGCTAATGATTAATCGATTATTAAATTATATTATTGATTAATGTGATGAATTCTTCCAGCCCTACTTTTATTAATCTGATTCAGCTAAATGTGAGATATTTGTCCAATTTTTACAGAGACAGCAGTGAGAAATCTACACAGATCATTTGCTTTAAGCATAGCAGACTCTCTACACACTGCAGTCAGTGTGACGTAAACAAAAAAACAAAAACATAACGGAGATTAGAAAGTTGGACGCAACAGCTGTGACCCTGGTTTGAGACGGTCTGAATGTCATAAACCATCCGGACCGGAGCTAAAGGTTCAGACCAGAACCTCCAAGCTTCTGCTTCTCCGCCGACCGCAGGAGGACCAACACCTCGTCTCCTGTTCACACCTTAGTTCCCCAACAGGAGAAGCTCTGCTTAATGATTAACAATCCAGATTTAGACCCATAAAATCCACCGCTGCGGTCAGCAGAACCTCTCCACAGTGTTTCATGGTTCCCATCAGTGACATCATTCCAGAACCAGTCAGAACCTATCAGACTGGACTCTGCGTCAGGCCGGAAGCCGCTTCGTTTCGGAACAGAACCAGTACAACATAACCATTTAGGCCTTTCATCTAACAGGGGACCGTATGAATGGAATCAGTGCCAGAAAAATAAAAGGATCTAGAATTGGGTCAAACATGGAGCAGCAGGTTCTGAACGCCATGAAACTTAAAAACCAGCATGAAGTCGGGAAACGACCCGAATGAAGGAAAAAAATCAGGTCAACCGAGGCTCCTGTCTGCCTGCAGCTAAAGTCTGTTCATTGCAGACATTTAAGTCTAGGAGTTAAATTAATAGATGAGGTCAGACATAAAAGCACATTAAACACATAGAAACATTAGCTGATCAAAATTAACATGAATCCCCTAAAGGCTGAACCTGGATGCCTCCCAACAGGCTAAACCTGCCCCACACCGCTTCTTCTAAGAGACGTGTTTGGTTCTGATGCGCAGCTGAAGCATCTTTGCTGCTCTAGCTGTGCGGTGGAAAGTGGGTCTGATGCACATTGGGCTAACCTATCCTTTCTTTGCCTGGAACTATGGCAGCCATATTTGCTGTGATCAGCAGGTAAAAAGTAGTTTGAATCTATTTCTAAGTGAGAAAGTCTTCCTGAAAACATCATCAGTCTGTTCATCCATATTCTGCCTTCAAAGATTACTTCTCTGTGGGAGCTGCTCAGACCCCCACATACCGGCTGTGCGCTGTCACTGGGAATCCCCAGCAGCAGCTGCCTCAGGCCCACTCGCCTCCTCACGGTTTGCTGCTACTGTTCGCAGTGGCTGGAAGTAGATGTTAGCATTTTTCAACTTTTCAAACTGCAGGCACCAAGATAATAAAATCAAACATATTCTCCCAGCAGGTTTCTATATTTTAAGTTAATTTAGGCGTTAAACTGTTTCAGAGGAGTTATCATAGCGCTCTGCATCAGCAGTGCTGTGTCTGTCTCCCTGCCAGCTCCCAGATCAGCTTCTCTGATTGGTTGATGTGACGCGTCCAGCAGCATGTAAGCTAGCTGCCTCTGCTGCTGAAAGAGAGTGCGGTCTGGACGTAACATAAGCCTGATTTTAAGTCAACATTCTGCTCCTTCAGGGAGGAGAGGCATCATCCTGCAGACTGTGGAAAACAGAAACCAGTCACTGGAGGTGGACCCGTTACCAGACCTGGAACCAGAACCAGCCAATAGATCCGCTCACATAATGAAAAAAGAAAACATTCATGAAACAATGGAAAAGCAACCATGTCCATCTCTAGCCATGAGCTTCTTTTATGTTTAAGTCCCCAGAAGAGGAAAGAAATAACGGAATCGATCCAAATCAAAGCATCTGAAGCCAGTCAGAACCAGTAAGTCCAAATAAAAACTAAACTAGAACATCAGTACCGCTCTTGAAATCCCAATCAATGAATCTCTAGTTCTCTCATTTATTGGTTTTACTCTGAGTCTGGAACCTCAGACTCTTTATTTTTCCATAAGCTGTTTTATTTCTCAGTAAATGAAAACATCTGGCAGTGACCGTCTGAGCTCAACATCCAGACCTTTAGAAGCAGGAGAACTAGTTCAGGTCCAGACTTTGAACGGTGTTTAGCTGCAGCTGTCTTCCTTCCAGCGGTTTGAAGGCTGATCTGCTGACTTTCTGTGTCTATAAGCATGCAGGTGTGTGTGACAGAGCAGACCTACCTGTCATGTCAGCCTTCAGGGCCTCCGCCTGGCTGCTCCGATGGAAACAGAGAGGAGAGGGAGGTTAGTCAGACACGGCAGCTTTCAGTTCATCAACATTCCTGCTCGACCTGAACTCCTTCAAACATTTAACAGCTCTGATCACACGTCCACCAGAACCTGCGGCTCCGTCTACTTCCTGCGTCCAAAACACAACTATTCAATCAGCGAAGCTTCCTGCAGATCAACCCCTGCCTGCCAGCTGTTATTAACTGCAGCTATGATCCGGTAGAGGAGTCACACACAGCAGGTTAACCAGTAATCACACCTGGAAGAGCATCCAAACCCACTATTACCCCCTTAGCTTAGCAGTATCGATGCTAACCTGACAGCCCTACAATTAAGCTAACAACAAACAACACATTTATTAGCCTTAAAAACACATTTTACAACACTTAGCTGGTTCTAAACCCGGCTTAGCTTATAAACGATCATTTATTATAGAGTGTAACATCTGCTGCTTCAACTGCTTATTGATATATCGGAATCTAACAACACCAACTGTTAGCTAAGCTAGCTCCAGGCTAGCAGCCTAGCAAAACAATCCAGCAGCGCTCCTTCCTGGGCCACCGGAACCACCGGCGCAGGGCACGCGGCCCAACTCACCGCAGATACTGGGCGCAGGGGTTCATCCTGCCGGGTCAACACCGGTCCTTTACACTACGACTGGACCGAAGCTAGGGCTCCTCCAGGCGCCATCATGTTGCTGTGTGACCCGCTGAGGGCCTGTGGTGCGGGGGCGGAGCAGGGGCGGAGCACCGGGAGGGCCTGCGGGGACCCGGAGCCCACAGAGTTTTGTTTATGAACTATTTGGAGTCACATAAAATAATGCATTCGATTCTTACATAATAATAAATAATAATAATAGATTTTAATTCAAAGGCGCCTTTCTAGACACTCAAGGTCACTGTGAAAAAGATAAAAACACAATGGCAGAAACAAAGTCAAAACACAGAATAAAACCATTTAAAAATACAAAGGCTGGGAAGTTTCAAAAGGAAGTCATTTAAATGTCCAATCATTCTGGCTTAAACATATAAATTTACTCTTTATCAGACAATGTTGTCCCAAAAGTTAGAAAATTTCTATAAAAAAAAAAAAAATATATATATATATATATATATATATATATATATATATATATATATATATATATATATATATATATATATATATCCTGTCTTAAAATCTTTGGGGTGTTTTTTTTTTATTTCATTCTTTATCTTATGCAGGCCAGTTAGTTCTACGTCAGCTTGTACACCTAAATTTGGCCAATCATATAACAATGGTCATCTGTCAATCACATTTTTTCAGTCATAGCATCTTGATTCATATGTTGCAGCTAATATACGTATACGGTTGAAACCAGAATCCTTTCCTTTCCCATTGAGTTGCGTCCCAGTGTTCACAGGGATGGACGTCTGTGTCTTCGGCAGGGGTAGAGCTAACAGAACTGGCAGCGTTGCGAGGCAAGGGCTCAAACATGTACGGCTGGAAGCCTTCTACACCAAACCAAGCTTCTGCCGCCCTGGCGTCCTCTTCCACAACATCTTCGTCCCCGCTTTCCTCCTCTAAATAAAAAATGGATGACGGAGGAGACTCATCCACGACCTCCGACACTAAACTCTCCTCCTCTTGCATGTTTCCTCTGTCCATAGCGTTCCTTGACAGTGTCGTTTCTAAGTCACCAATTTAGTGCTACTTGGTCCCAATGGAATTTCCCATTGGGAACCTGCTAGCACTAAGTTGCTTACTTAGCTAAATGTGTAGTGTCACACAAAATAGGTAAAAATGGCTGAAACATTTTAAAGAATTAAAAACATAAAGACAAACAGATATGAGGGTGGAAAAAAGACATACTGCAGCTGTCAGTTTCAGTTAACAAAACTTACAGGAAAGTGTGACTGTGTTGAACAAGCTAACAACTTGTTGAGCTAACAACTAAATAGAGGTAGAAATGTAATAGGCAAATAGCAATATTAGCCTCAGTGTCGGACGATGATCATTATCCCTGTATTGTTCCTCTATTCTCTGTATCCAAGGATACAACCATCAGGATGTAACTAGATAATGTTTATTAACTTTTTCTTCTCCTTCTAATTTTTTTCAAAAACTATCAGAGTGCCACCAAGTGGTCATATCATGCCATTACATCTCCCTCTTTTAGATGAACGTTTAACCGATTTGGCAGAGCTTCAAATCATTGTAATATAATCATCAGTGGATGTAACCTGAGAGGCTAACCGAGGGGCTCGACTGCTGTGTGAGCTTCCCGTGCGCAAATCTTACATCTCTCCACCATCTGTTTCACAGCAGACGTAATGCCTGGCCACCAGACTGATTCTCTAGCTCTAGCTAGGCATTTGTTGATGCATTGGTGTCCCTGGTGAAGTCTCTGCAGGATATCAGGTCATGCTTTCAGGTATTATGAGTCTCTCACCTTTCATGAGTAATCCTCCATCGTGCAGAACTGACCTGTCCGGCCAGTAGGGCAGCAGCAGCTCGTGTGCATCTCGTCTGTGTTCAGGCCAGCCATTTGCAATGTAGTGACTGAGACGTTTGCATGTGTTGTCTGAGGTTTGCGCCCTCTTAATCTGTTCCAGCTTTGTCGGTGTGGCTGGGCGGTTTTCTACTACACTGTCCAGGTATGCTTCACATTCTTTTTCCAGGTCTTGCTCTGCGTCCGTAGCTGTGGTTGGAAGAGGCGCTCTCGACAGGGCATCAGCGGTTATCAAGTTTTTGCCTGGGACATGGATTATGTTGAAATTAAATCTGAGCAATCTAGTCTGAATCTGATAATCCTCGGAGGGAGGTCGTCCAGTGCTCTGGACTTCAGGAGGGTTATAAGTGGCTTGTGATCAGTCCTTATAGTAAAATCCTGCCCACTCAAGTATCTTCGCAGGCGCTCACATGCCCAGGTCACAGCTAAAGCCTCTTTTTCTATTTGGGCGTACCGCGATTCGGCCTTGGTCAGACTTCTAGAAATGAAAACTACAGGTCGCCATTCACTGTCAGGCTGTTTTTGTGTCAACACCCCTCCTAGTCCATAGGAAGAAGCATCATCTGATACCATGGTTTCGTGACTCGGGCTGTATTGGGCTAACACAGTCTCTGACCCTAGTTCCTTCTTCGTCTCCAGGAACGCTCTCTGTGGTAGACGTGGTGAAAATTTGCCCACATAATTCACCATGCCCATGAAACGGCGAACGTCCCCCACATCCTTCGGCTCAGGCATGTCAAGGATCGCTTTTATTTTATCTGGGTCTGCTCTGATGCCTGTTGAGTTTATGACATGGCCCAGGAATCGAATTTCACCCTTAGCAAACTGGCATTTCTCATTCAGAGTGAGTCCAGCTTCTCTGAATTTCTGTAGCACTTTGTGCAGTCGTTCGTCATGCTCTGCCCGATCCTTTCCCATGACAAGGACATCATCAGCATGGCACAGGGCTCCATCAATACCATCAATCAGCTGAGAAATCCTCTTCTGAAAATGTTCTGGAGACGAAGATATTCCAAAAGGGAGCCTCTTGAAGTAGTAGCGTCCCTCTGGTGTGATGAACGTGGTCAACAGCATTGAATCTTTATGAAGTGGTACCTGCCAGAAGCCTGATGTCGCGTCGAGCTTTGTGAAGATCCTGGCTCCTTCTAGCTTGGCCAGCATCTCATCCACTGCCGGTAAGATGAGCCTCCCTGATGACATTCTCATTCAGATGTGTTAAATCTACACAAATGCATATTTTCCCTGATGTTTTCACAATAGGGACCATACCTGCGCACCATTCAGTTGGTTATTCCACGCTGCCTATGACCCCCATCTTCTCCATCCGGCCCAATTCCTCTTTCACTTTGCTGTGGAGAGGAATGGCTACACGACGTGGAGCAGAGAGAACATAGGGTGTTGCATCGTCTTTCAGCTTAATTTTGTACTCTCCTTTAAGTTTACCTAGCCCTGTGAAGACATCTGGGTAGGTTGAGCGAAAGTATGCCTCTGCATCGTCTATGCTATGGAGCTGTGGAATCATCTGCAGTCTGCGAATGGCAGGGAGGCCCAGTAAGGGTGTGCTCAGGTCCTTCACAATGAACACCTCCTCCTCAATCTTTCTGTTGCCTCTCTGAATAACAGCATGCACTTGCCCTTTAACATCCAGAGGTTGATTGGTGGGCCCTAGCAGTGGTCTTTGTGGCGCTGTGTATTTGCCATGTCGATCCTGTACATATTCCGTCTCTGTTATGGCAGTCACGGACGCGCCAGTATCCACTTTAAAACGCAACGGTCTGCCGTTTATGGTAAGCATTTCTGTCCATGTCGACAAATGTAGATGGTCAATAGTTCCTAGATAAGCCCCAGCTGCATCCTCTTCAATAGATTCCAGCTTTTGAGCTGATCTGCACACTTTCGCAAAGTGTCCCCTTTTATGGCATTTTCTGCACTCAACATCTTTAGCTGGGCACTCAGTCCATGACAATAACATTATGCACTCCGATAAAATGTCCATCAAAAGCCTCTTTTACCTCTTTATAGTGCTTTTGTTTTTCTTCTGTTAATTGCAATGAACTCAGGATATCGTCAGCCTTATCCCCCATTGTGTAAATGGGGGATAAGGCTCTGCCGGCCTCTCCGATGGCTGGCTCTGCCGGCCATCGGAGAGGCCGTTGGTGCCCGCTGCCGACCGAGGCCACTTATTGGCAGATATTATAAAAGTTTTAATGCAGTTTATTAAACGTTAACATCACTACATATATATACATATATATATATATATATATATATATATATATATATATATATATATATATATATATATATATATATATATATATATATATGTATATATATATATATATATATATATATGTATATATATATATATATATATATATATATATATATATATATATATATATATATATATATAAAAACAAAAAAGCCATTTTATTGTCGGTAAGGTTTATAACAGGCACACTCAGTAGAGTTAGACAAGCGCACCCTATCTGAGGCTGTCATTCTATTGGCTGGAAAGGTTGCTAGGCGACGATCCGACTGCAATCTGAGAGAGAGCAAAAAAAATCCGCAAGCAGAGCCTACGGGTTTGCGAGCGTATCTGAGACTCGAGTAGAGCGCGGTGTGTGCGCGAAGAGAAAGAGGCAAGCGAGAGGAAAAAATATCTGTGCAAGATGCATTAAATCTGAGAGAAGAAGCAAAGATTTGAAAGAGAAGAGAAAATATTTGAGAGAGAACGCATGTTTTGAGTGTGAGCATTATAAGTTTTGAGTACAAGAAGATGAAATTCTTTTCTCAAATTGAAATTATGTGCTCTTGCATTATGGCAGGATAATTCTCCCATTCACCAACCTTGACCTGAGCAACAAAGGCTACGTTCACCCAAATGCGACCTGAGCAACAAAGGCTACGTTCACACCAAATGTGACCTGAGCAACAAAGGCTACGTTCACACCAAATGCGACCTGAGCAACAAAGGCTACGTTCACACCAAACGTGACCTGAGCAACAAAGGCTACGTTCACACCAAATGCGACCTGAGCAACAAAGGCTACGTTCACACCAAATGTGACCTGAGCAACAAAGGCTACGTTCACACCAAACGCGACCTGAGCAACAAAGGCTACGTTCACACCAAACGTGACCTGAGCAACAAAGGCTACGTTCACACCAAACGTGACCTGTGCAACAAAGGCTACGTTCACACCAAATGTGACCTGAGCAACAAAGGCTACGTTCACACCAAACGCGACCTGAGCAAC